GATTATATCAAGAAACTCGAGATGAATAGCAAAAGCAACAGACCAGATAAGCCCGTGTTCAATGCACAGACAAATGGCATATATATATATATATATATATATATATATATATATATGTGTGTGTGTGTGTGTGTGTGTGCGCGCGCGCGTGTGTGTGCGTGTGTATGCTTCAATCCAGACCGAGGGACACCAGTCTAGAAAAATATTAACGACTAAATATTGAAGCACACACAGATTTACTTAAATCAAAACCTGGGATGTAAAACCTGGTATGACTCATGTCCTTTATGTCTACAAGAAAAACTGCACATTATTAAATTTCTAAAAAATGAAAATTTATTAAATCAAAGAAATGAGATAACGGTTTTTTGACGACACCACCTAATATTCGCCTTAAATAATTAGCATTTTAGAAAAAAAATTTTCCAAATCTCTTAACAAGTTTAAAGCAATAGGTTTAAAAACACAACCCGCTCATAACTTTAAAGTCCCTTTAAGAAAAAAAAACAAATAAATAAACACCAAAAGCTACTGAAACTACGACATCAATCAGTTAAAGTCATACGGCAATAAAAAACAAAACAAAACAACAGAACTACTATATCAATCAGTTGGAGTTATAGCAGGGAGTTTGATTAGATTAGCCATTGTAGCTAGACAAAAAAAACCCAACCCAACCTTACACGACTCCTTAAACTTGACATATCACAAACACTCCATCAAAGCAGTGACTCCTTGATAAAGAAAAAACAAACCCTAGACCACACCTCCATTTCAAAACTATAAATGAGTAAAACATTCCATACCATAGTTATTCCAAAACATCGCTTGATGATGAAACTTACTATTGAAATTAAACTTAAATACTGCTGACCAGTTTCGAAACATAGTAATTTCTGTGTTGCGATGGAATCATATTTTTTTAAAATCTCGGCTTTACTTATGTATCGAGCACTGTTTTTAAAAACAAAAATACTAAAGAACTTCGGATCATCAATCTAATAGTTCTTCCTATTATATCAACACACACACACACACACACATATATATATATATATATATATATATATATATATATATATATATATATATATATATATAGGAGGACTTTATCAAGTCAATGTAAGGATTTATTTTGCTGCACGTGTTTATATACAAAGGCTAGAATATCATTGATTTATCAAGGCTTTTAAATTTGAGATCGTTCATGAATATTTAGTAGGTAGTTGAAAGGACACTAAAAACACGTGGAGGACACAAAGTCTCATGATTCAAAGTTTGGCAAAAAGTAAGCAACAAAATAAAGTGCCTTGATAAAGTCCCTCAGATGACGAAACGCGTCGGCTAATAATAGTTTTTTTTCTCTTGTCTCTTTTATTCCTTTTCTTCCTTTACAGATACACTCTACCTGAATATATATATATATATATATATATATATATATATATATATATATATATATATATATATGTCTGTATTAGGTACGTGGGTGTTAAGTCTGTTGACTAAGAAATAGAATAATAAAAAGAAATCAAACCTGAAAGTTAAAAACACGATATTTTTTACAAATGCAAATTTATTATTTACTTTGTTATAGTCTGATTTCTTTGTTGAAACTAATGAAAATAAATTGCTTAAAATTCCTAGCTATATTCAGTATCTATAATAATTTTAACATTTCCTTAATGTACTTCATAGCAATTGTCCGTGTCTAAATTACCGTATTTATCAATTTTGTAGATACACTATCTTCCCAAAAGTGCCCTTAAATTATCCAGTCCCAATATTTGTAAAGAAAAAATTATAAAACATTTTCTGTAATTAGACGTAGGCTTAAACGCAATGAAACATTCAAAGTTAAGATTCACAAGATGTTTTAAGGTGTATTTTCGTGAAGAAAATAGTATCTTCGATGCCGAAAATACTGTAAATAGTGCTTGAAAAGTTTTTCTTTTATATCTGGCAAATTTAACTTGAAATACATATTTAATTCTAATAAATTCACCACTTAGAACAATATGGCTTCAGAAATTATTTAAGACGCCATAGATTTAAAATATTTTACGAGATTTTCATAACAAGATGGCGCCGGAAAAGTTATAGCAATCATAATATTCACGACTGCCAAATTCATTAAAATTTGGCATCAGTTTGTCTAATAATTGCAAACATAATAATTGCTTCATCATGGCTTCCGACTCTAACCACCCTTACCATCATTGTTTTCAGTCCGACTATCAAAAATCTTAACGCTATTTCAAACAACACGTTCGCTAATAGGAAAGTTTGCTTGAATGTTCTCCGCTTGATCCACTTCAGAATATTTGAACAACTAGACAAATATCAGAATTTAAAAAAAATATCTTTGTGGTTGGTTAGGTTCATTATGCCTTCTGCTTAATAGTATCCTTCGATAATCATTGTTTCCCCAAAACGTTTTCAGTTATTCATTTATCTTACGTAGCGTCATAAACGACAACGGATAGTGATTCCACTTCTAGTCTTCATTTCAAGAGACAATCACAGACTTTAAAGCACTTAAAACACTACAGGCGGATATTGTTTCATTTCATAGTATTTCCTGATTTTATTACACATCTTCTGCAGCTCAAAGGGGCAGCTTAAATTAACAGTATATCATTAACTGTGTTGCGGGCCTGTGTACGCGTTGAGAGATAAATAAGTGGTTCTCCTGAAATGCCCACAACAACATGGCAGACTCGGTATATGAGTCCAATTAAAAAATGTAGGAAATAACAAGAACCAATATATATGTGTACAAACAAATGATAATGTATTCAAAATAAAGGGTTACATATACAATAGAATATTGTTGCGTTAATAAACAATAAGCATTAATGGAGAAAGCATTTAAGCTAGGGAATTTTTGTGCATGTGTAGTTCGGTGTAGGAAAAAATCCTCGAAAAAACTGAAGTGAAAGGTGCGTACGTACGTGTGTGTGTATTGTTCATGCGTGTCCCAAAAACTGAACGCGTTTTTCCGCGAGAAATTGACATGTTGACGTCTATGAGGAAAAATGAGAAAAACAGGACGAGAAAAAATAACGCCGAGTATTTATAGTGCCGGAAAGCTCCCCCTAGTAGTGATTTCGAAAATTAGGAGGAGATCACTCGACAAGCTGTATCCGCAATCATAACACGTTCAGGCAAGGCTGTATATATATTTTTTTATAATGATAGGATATATAAAATAAAGATATGATATGGAAAATAGTATTGAAAAGTGTATGATATATAAATAATTCTGATATCGCTACTACAGTTTTGAGTTTTGGGCAACGGTTACAAGCTCGGAAAGGGGAACTGGAGATCCGAGTTCAAATCCGAATTCAATTCTGGTTCATTCATTTTCGCACTGATGCCCTTTAGAAAGACGTTAATGTATGTCTTTGTAAATTTAAACTAGTTACATTCCATTACCACCAAACAGACCCCGAACTACCGCCAGTCACGATAAACGGATGCCAGCCAAACACTACCAGCCAAAATCGAGTCTTCCGCGCGTTGACAGAAGACTTGATTTTGGATGGCAGTGTTTGGGATGCCTTCTCTAGCCTACAATCACTTCTCCCGTTTCGAAAGGCTGAGCGCCGTCGTAATCCCCGGAATCAATCGAGTTTCCTGAGAGTGTCAGGTAGCCTTGAGGGTTATTCCTCATCCAGTGACGTTTCATGACCGCGTAGACTATTGTATCGTTAATTAGTGGAGTCGAGTTGCGAAGCATCCACTCTGCGGCCAGCTCGGTTTGTCGACATTTGATTTGAGCTCTTTCTGGTGTTGGGTGCCAGTGGCGAATTATCTCAACCCTGAGTTTTCGCTTACCTGGCGATTAATTTGGAACAGAAGGGGCTGGGCAGATTTTTCCGACTATCCCGGTGTGAATTTGCCTCAGAGAAAACGGCTTCGCACACATTTTAACATTGTCCTCAGGTGCACAAGTTCTGGGACTATGTCGGCGAGCTGACGGCTTGTGTCGATCCCAAGCAGCTCACGGCCATTAATCTCGCATATTTTGTGATAATGTGTCGCCTCGTTCTGGGGCGGGGGGATGATTGACGGAGGGAATCTTGCGATAAAACGTTATTCGCATCAGGATCTGGTCAGATTTTTTAGGCTTCAGCTCAAGAGCAAGCTCAGAACTGATAGAAAGCTTTTGTTATCGATAGATGACAGCGAAAGGTGGGTAACTGTGGCGAGCCTTGTTCGTGAGAACGTTTCTACCTTTCGTTTTCTTTATTAAGTCCCCCTTTCATCGCAACGGAGCGGTTTCCTTTGAATACCTCCCTGATTAGCTTAGACACTATTTGTTTACCTAATTAATGTGAGTAAGTGTTGTTCCCGACCTTTCCTCGGCTTTCTAGTTTGTTATGGTCTATTTCGAGTTGCCCAGCCTCTCCAGTTTGTATTACCCCACTTTTTGATTGGGTCAGTTTCTGATTTTCCCACTCTATCATTTACTTTTGCCTTTCCACTCCATTAATGAGTGTGCGTCTTGAACGGCAGAATACAGCGGCCGATCTTATTATTTTTGAGGGGTGGACGGGTCCGACTAAAATATACTTTAGTTTGAATGTTTTGTTTTATTTGAGTTTGTTTTTGGGTTCATACCCTCCCCAATCATTTCATGTTCATGAATTTTTTAATATATTTTCATAAAAAAAAAAAATATTAAAAAAAATCAAAGACATATTTGGAACTTTTCAAATGTTTATGCCATGGGGTACTTTGCCGATTCCTTGTGAATATGAGGCCCTGTGGTACATGTTGGATTGAAGGGATGATGGATGAGTCTTTGTGGTGAATGAGTGAATTGTAATGAATTAATGGGTCGTGAGTTTTATTAACTAGGTCTAGGATTGTTAGTGATGACCAGCCTTACCCCACACCCCTTTTGACCTTGTGCCACAATTATGCATTTTCGTATATAATAAATATACATTCTCCAATAAAGACTGAAATCAACAGGGTCTACAAAGAATATGAAAACGTGGGACGTAGATGAAGGAGAAAAAGAAGCTTCGAAAGGTTTTACTCGAAATCAGTAGCATCAAAATCAACGCTACAGTATTTCGTTTCCTCTCAGTTGATCTTGTGAAAATTTGAGCCTTTGCCTCCTGTAAGCATTAATATACTGACTAAAGTAAATGCAGTAAAAGCTTTTTTTTTAAATTAAAGAGGGCTTAATCAGGGCTGCGTTAACATTTATAGCAGGAAATCTCATTACCATTCTTCAATTGATTAAAGGGGATTCCTCTGCTTGCATTAGTTGAATATATATTCCAGCACATGTTACCTACCGTAAAATGGTTAATGATGACAGTAACGGTGAAATTAGACGTTCATTTATAAGGAAACATTCGGTATTCATTGACTGAATGGTTAGCTTTATTGTCGGATGAATATTATACAATTTTACTCATCAAATACTTTTACAAGTCCATTAACTGTTATCACTTTTTCTAATACTGAGGAGGGTCCTTCCTATCTGTTTTTCTTTCAGGTAGTGGGAAAAGTCAACGTTTTCATTATGTCATTATTTTCTATTCGAATTACATGTACTGTCCATTTTAGTTGTTGCTGCTGTTAAAAGACTTGAAGTGATATGGTATCTGTTATTTGGCAAAGTGCTTTATCTTATCTATCTATCTATCTATCTATCTATCTATCTATCTATCTATCTATCCTGCCAGTCTGTCTGTCTGTCTCTGTCACTCTCTCTCTTGATTTTGATTAAATAGAGAAGAGTTGTATCAGGTTCATTGGTAAGAAGGGGTTATTATGTTTAAAATAAACATTTGTTGTACAAAATAATTGCCTTTTTCCTTTCAATTATTGATAGAGTTACAGACAGTGTCGACATAAGAATCAAAACTGGATAGTGACTATCAGTTTCATTCAACAATGTGATCCCCAAAATGAGAAGTCTCAATTTCTACCTTCTCCCACTTTTCGTAATAACTCAGTAGATTCTATATATATATAAAGCCCGTGAGAAGAGTAGGGTCAGCGGATCTGGAAATCTTATTGAGTCCTTCGTAACGATATTCACTGATATTCATTCTGCGGTGTCGATTCTTGCACCAATACTATTAGGTCTATCACTTATACTTAGCACTGTCACCTACAAATACAGAAAATATATATATATATATATATATATATATATATATATATATATATATATATATATATATATATTTTTTATATATATATATATATATATATATATATATATATATATATATAAGTTTATCTATCTCAGTCTTTTAATATAAAACTCTCTATTCAAATTTAGTTATATGTCTCTCTCACTATTTATTTTCATATATATATCTGAGTCTATTTTTATCTATCTATCTAAAACGTCTATTAATACGTTTCTTTCACATCAATACGTGTCTATATTAAATATTAATATAAAAACAACAATGAATTATAATATTAATACATGCACACACGCACACACATATATACATGCATACACATTCATATCTTCAACTATCGATTTCAGATTCCATCGTTCAACTCTCACTGTCTCTTTAACTCTTTCTCTTCCAACTATCCATCTATCTCTTTCTCCCTACTCATCTGAAATTATTTATTTGCATGCACCTTTACGTGCAGTATATCTTGATTCTCTTCTGTTAATTCTGTTTCTCTCGTTCCAAAAATAGTCTTCTTACTGGCATCTGGCTATATAACTGATCTCCAGCTGACAAGATGTCAGCTGCTCAGTTGTAAGATTTCAGTTACAACTGGACTTGTAATTGAAATCTATCTCCTTCTTCTCGATTCTGATCTATCTATCTATCATCTATCTATCTATCTATCTATCTATCTATCTATCTATCTATCTATCATATCTATCTATCTATCTATCTATCTATCTATCTATCTATCTATCTATCTATCTATCTATCATCTATCTCAGTCTGTTATATATATATCTATCTATCTATCTATCTATCTATCTATCTCAGTTTGTTCATTATCTATCTATCTATCTATCTATCTATCTATCTATCTATTTATCTATCTATCTCAGTCTGTTCATATATCTATCTATCTATCTATCTCAGTTTGTTCATTATCTATCTATCTATCTATCTATCTATCTATCTATCTATCTATCTATCTATCTGTGTGTGTGTGTGTTTGTGTTTGTATTAATGAAATCTGTCGTTGTTTTCAAGAGGGTCAAAGACTTACTATTTTCACACTCATGACACGATCTGCCCTCAATGTCCAAGATTTCAAATACTGATTGATTCCAATGTTGTAAGATTTTCTCCAGTTTTCACAGTTTTGAACGATCTCTTCCAAGGTGTATCTTTGTATCTTCAAGAAGGTCCCCCAACATTACGCTTTCCCGATAAAAGCTGAGTGTATGTTAGAATTTTTGGATGTCTCTTATCATGCTATTTATCTTATTACATGACCGCATCAAGATGGCTTCTATTTTTTGAATGTCACACTTAGTGAACCATTCCTCATTAGAAATTTTAAATATTAATATTTTTAATTATTTTTCAAATATTAAATATATTTAAATATTTTTCTATCTAAAATATTCGGATGCAGTTAATAACTGCATTTTTATCTTAAATAATTTTGATTTTTATTCTCTATATAAACTTCAACTATTGTGATTAAATAGAGAAGAGTTGTATTAGGTTCATTGGTAAGAAAGGTTATTATGTTTAAAATAAACATTTGTTGTACAAAATAATGGCTTTTTTCACTTCAGTTATTGATTGAGTTACAGACAGTCTGGACATAAGAATCAAAACTGGATAGTGACTATCAGTTTCATTCAACAATGTAATCCCCAAAATGGGAAGTGCCACTTCTTCCTTCTCCCAGCTTTCTTAATAACTCAGTAGTTTCTATTTATATAAAGCCCGCGAGAAGAGTAGGGTCAGCGGATCTGGAATTCTTATTGAGTCATTCTTAACGATATTCACTGATATTCATTCTGAGGTGTCGATTCTTGCACCAAGAAAAATCACCAGAAAATTATATATATATATATATATATATATATATATATATATATATATATATATATATGTGTGTGTGTGTGTGTGTGTGTGTGTGTGTATCGGAAAGCATGGCAGCATAGGAAAGTAATATATGTCGACAGTATGGGAAATAATTAATATAAATTTTTATATATCAAGTACTATTTTAGAGACAAAAAATTTAACAAAGTGAAAAGGTTTTTGTGCAATTGGTTTCATTCTTTTACATGTTACACGAAAACATTTTCCACTTTGTGTTATGATGACCTATCTCGATTAGAATGAACTCTTCCTCTTTCATAAATACTAATCTGCGAGACATCCCAAGGCAGAGGTAGTCGGGACGCAGTGTAACCTGACAGTTCGGACGGACAGTTCTATCTGCTGACTAATAACCCTCTTATTTTGTATATATGTTCTGTTATTTCAATACACTTGTTCAACCTACCTTTTTCTTTCCGTGTCTTTCTTTCTGGCCCCTAACAGGCCACAACACTGTGTCATATTTTTTGTCCCTAAAATTGTTTTTGATATATGAAAATTTATATATTGCTTTACCATACTGATGTAAAAGTACTAAACACTATATATATATATATATATATATATATATATATATATATATATAGTCTTAAGGTGTGGTATATTTATGGGATAAAGTGCTCAATATCAGGGATAAAGCGTGTGTAAATATAAAAGTAAACATAGAAGTCAACACTTAGAGGCGACAGTCTGTTTCACTCTGTGGCCTAACGATTGCATCTAGCATGAAACAATGTTCTTTTTTATATATATATATATATATATATATATATATATATATATATGTGTGTGTGTGTGTGTGTGTGTGTGTGTGTGTGTGGACTGAAAACTATCCCAGTCTACCTCCGCATACCGAAAAAAAAAACATTCTATGGGACTGTAAACCAGGGGATGTCATTGGTTTGGACTCCGTTTGAACAGAGATCTGACGTGCCAGTGAGGGCGAAAACTTTTTGCTGAGCATTTGTCGGAACGGGATGTTAGAAAAAATTTGAGGAAGTTCACCTGCTGTCCCGTCGCATCCGGGACTCGGGTACGTTCTACAATGATCTGGGTTAGTTCATAGGTGACGGAGAAATCTTTGTCTGCTTTCCTCATCGGTTTTGTTCGAATGGACTCACTGTAGTGAACCCTGAAGCCACCATATTTTCGATAGATTATTACCGACACTTCATCCTGAGGGCTCTGCAGGGAAAAGACGAATGTGGTACGATGGATAAGTACAACGCGGAAACACACATGGGAGAGCAGCGTCTTCAATTTTTTGGTGTCCCTGCTACAGGGAAACCCGTCCCTGATGTAGGCACAGAGCCCATGACCGTGGGGATTTAGGTGGTCATATTTTGTTATTTTGGGTGAGTAGCCCGGGGTTTTGAGCCCCTTCAATGGGATTGGCGCATTGATACAGGTTTCAGAGAAGAACACGAGGTCAGGTTTAGACTAAAGAAGATGGAGTTCCACTACTGGAAAATTGGAACGTAGACCCCTTACACTGGTGTAAGATATGGTATAACTGGGGTCTAATTTTATGAAGTTGGGTTTCCTAGTTTTCTTTCTCTTCAATTTGATTGCTTTCATGTTTGTTTTGGTTAGTTTGGCAGATGGCTAGTCGGCAGCGAGACAGACACCCATTGGAGATGCACGTATAAAATAACCTGGCTTGACTCACCCGGAGACACTGCCGTAAAAGTAACCATTATCATGGCATCGTGAGGCCCAGCTTACGGTTAAATCACGCTGAAACACCGGTTCTCGTTCGATCACCGAAGTTAACCATCGTAGAGCCAGGTCAGTACTTAGATGGGGGACCGCTTGGGAACACCTGGTACTATAAGCCCCCAAAGTCCAACCCTTACCTCACAGTTGGTGGGGTGGGGGGTTTTAAACGGTAGTGTCAGAGCTATGCCGCCGGGAAC